AGCATAAAATTGCTCGTGTAGCAGTTAAGTTGGTTATCTGATGAAATAAAGCAAGCATATTTTGCAGGCACCTGGTTGTTTAGAAGAAATGAAGAAAATAATTGTAAATTAAGATGGATGAGCAATCTATTGCAGATGCAAATTTATCAGGGAATGTGGGCATTTCTCTGTTAAAGGAAGAAGGAGATGCTCTTGAAAGTTGGCACTGTTGATGGCTTTATCTACACAATTTGGAAAACATTTGCAGAACACTTGGTAATTAAATATGCCCTCAGCTGAGAAATTATGCCCCAGGTTGTCCTGCTGGTAGGTAAAAGGTAACTGTTCTCCTATACCTGCGCTTTAAGATTTCTGCTATGAAGCACCTGAGTTTCCGGAGACACTCATTGTGAGGTTGTACAGTGTACACAATAATATGAGGAAATGTCATGGCTAAGAAACAGACAGAATTCCTCTTCCTAGACTCGTGACAACTGGCTCGTTGGTGGCATTCAGATTTCAGCTCAGCCTCTTCCCCTCGCCGTCGAGTACTTCCCTTCCACATTAGTTCACTCTAAACCATCACATTCCTAAATCATCACATCCTTTTTTTTTTTTTTTAATTCCGCTAATCATTGTCTGAAAGGATTATCTTCATTGGTTTGCTGGTTTGTTGATGCCCATGCCTGGCAGAAAAGAAACTCCTTGAGAGCAGGGTGTTATTTTTCCCTTCCACCCCTGACTCCCCAGCTCATAGAAGCAGTGCCTGGCACATTGTACGTCTTCAATAAGTAGTGATTGAATGCATGAACCTGTGAGTGAACGACTGAATGAATGAACAAATGAACCAGCCAACAAACAAACAAATGAATGCAGGATGTTGACTACACATAGTTCCATAGAGAGTTCTAGAACACCGGATCACTCACAGGCTTTGTATAAGATAGGGACATATGTAGAGTCTAAGATGTAGCCTAGGTACATCAGGAATCATCCTTATAGTTGAAAGAAACCCCCTCGACTTTGGACAGCATCTGACATATGACACTGCGGGAAGTTTCTTCATGGAGAGATCTTAGGCAGATGACCTGATGTTTCAACTCATTCCAGCAAGGAGATGGGGGGATATACTGGCAAGGAGGTCCTCTCAGGGCGCCCACTGATGGGCTTCTGGGGATAGACCCACAATCACAGGTTACCTGGACAGACAGGGACCCTTCTGTCCTGTGTGGGTTTTCTATTAGCTTGAAATTCCTTAACAAAGACTTTTTCCTTGGACAAAGAAAAGGATGCTACCTCGTTATTAATATTTTGGGTGCTTTCTGTTAAACCAGCCCTTAATGTCTTTCACACAGGTTAAAACTCTCCTTGCTGAAAAAGCAGTTTAGTTTGGCTGATGGAGTTTGAGGTTCAGGAGAAAGATTAGTAACTTAAAAAAATACTTCTTTGAATTTGATGTATCTTACAGGAAGGGGCCTAGTTTGATGTTGCCCACCTTAACTTGTCATCCAAATTGCCCTTGAGGAGTGGTTTTTAATCTGATACATTTTTACCCATATCTTCTGAAGTGTCTTTTTTTTTTTTTTTAACAGGAGGGTAGAGTAACGTGGAAAGCAGTTTTTTATTCACTCCAAGGACAACTAACTCACATACAACCAAGGGCAGAATTAGTCTCTAGGTATATTTTTTAGCCTAAGGGTGTCCCGGGTGTGTGTGTGTGTGTGTGTGTGTCACTCAGGAACCTCTTTAAAAATAATTACCTTGTGATTAGTATCTGATACCAATGATATTTTTATGTTAAAAGTCTGAGGTCTTTATTTCCTGGAGACAGCCAATGAACTTCTTTTCACCTTGTTCCTGGCTGCTTTTCCTCCATTGCCTTAATAGAGGCACATACATCGAGGCACACACGCCTGCAGAGTGGCCCTGGCAAATGGTCGATATTCCACCAAAACAGTTTCTCTTCATGTAATTCCAGTCCGGTTAGATGAGAAATACACACACACACACACACACACACACACACACACACACACACACAAGACCTATATTCTCTACCAGCTGGTGTGTCAATAGAAAATGCCCAATGGTGGGGATTAGTATTTTCTTCCAGCTTCTATCTATTGCTTCTGTTGACTATGTCTACCAAAGGAAGGCATCTGGAGGATGACGTTACAAGTGTAACTCAACGTGGGAAGCAAAGATAGAGAGACAATAGTGTTCGTCTCAGCCAAAGCTCATTATTAACATTTTGGTCATGTTCAAAGGCTTTTCAGAAATGGCTCTTGGGACAATTTGGTGTCCAGTCTTTAAGGACTAACCACAGCATTTGTCTGTCACCACTTCGAGAGGTTAGAATGTAATGTATGGATAATGGCAATGACTGCATTGCCATCCACGTTTGAAAAAGCCACAGTCAGTGGCTTTGATGTCAGAGCCACAGCCCACCAATCTGATGTCAGTGTGATGGATTAGGATTTGTCAGGCTACAGTTACTGGCTTTGAAAAAATAAGGAGCCCATGTTCTATGAACATATATGTTCATAGAGTTTTTTGGGGGAAAAGTTTGTGCAGGTCTCTCATTGTTGGCGTTATTTTAAGTATGCCCAACTTGTTTTCTAAAATAAAGAAATGTAAAAAGAAAGAAAGAAAGAAAGAAAATAAAGAAATGTGTGGGGAGGAAGGGCAAGCTGTGGAAGCTGGCAGGGTCAGTATCTAGAGTTCTCATAAGGTGTGGGCTTTTCAAATTTGTCATTAAAGCATTGCATTATGTTCCCCTCTCACCCCCCCCCCCCAAAAAAAAAAGGGTAGGGAGAGAGAAATGAGAACCGGGACAGAGGGAGGAGGGGCTGAGAAGACGGGTGGGGAGGAGGGATCCGGCCACAGGGGAATCTCCTCTGTGAACCCCGGAGGAAGGGGCTCCTCGAAGAAGTTTGCATGTAATATTTAACTGGTGCCTTCCTATAACATCTTGACTTAATAAAGAGACTAGCAAAAGGGAAAGAGCGGAAAAAACGAAGGAAGAAATGTGCAGCAAGACAATAAAAAGTATCCTCCTCACACCCACCGCCTTCGGGGTCTTTCCCTTGTGCCTCAGAGCTTATTCCACTGAAACTCATCAATTTTTGCTTTTGTGCTGGAAATGCCCGAACACATGTAAGGCTTCACAGGCACCCCTTGGGGTGAGAAGGTTTCACAATGCTGGCTGAGCCTCGTGGGGTGTCCCCAGGGAAGGCCAGGGGGCCCCGGGGCGGGGGGGAAGGGGGGTCCTTCGGGTCCGGGGCGCCCTGCTCCCCCCCCCCAGCCCAGCCGGCGAACAAAGGGCCGAACCTCAAAGCTCCTGCCCCAACGCGTGACCTCGGGGCCCAGGGCGAAACATTTTATCTCTGGGTCCTAGTGACATAAGCTCCTCGGGCTCTGCAATTGTGGTTTATGATGTGACTAGAAACCTTTGATGGAATTACTCTTGCCTTCTATTTCTCTGCCCAGCCATTTATTATTCTGTATATTTTCGAGAGCTGTGGGAAACTTTCATAACCAAGCCTAAGCCAGGCGAAAACTTGTTCTATTTGGAATTTGTAATGAAGTCAAAACATGGCCTGGATTTTCTGAAAGGCTCCTTTGGCTGCCTGCAACAGCCCGGGGGCACAATCAGACAGGGATGGAGACGGCCTGGGAGCAGATTTTGTTACCAAGAATAGGACGGAACAATATTTGCCTCCCAAACACTAGGGCTGCTATTTACCTTCTCAGCTGGAAGGAGTGAGAGATAAATGCATATTTCACATGAAGTGCAAATACCAATTCTTTCATTTCTAATTTTCAGGATTTTTTTTTTCCTTTAACTCCCTCGAAACAAAAGGCCAGGGAGATTTTTTTTTTTTTAGCATATTTGATTTCCTGACCTAAGGGAAGAAATTCTTTATTTCAGAACTTTTGACCCCCCCAAAGAGCTGTTGCTTTGCCTGAAATGAAACTGTGAATAAAAATTGTGAGACATCTAAAGTGACTGGGGGTTTTGAGAATGCTTTCTTTTGTGTACTGTGCATGTCGGTGGGTGCGGGGTTGCAGAAAAAGCCAGAAAAACCCGAGTTTCGCTCTGCTGGGATGGAAGTCTTCCCCTACTTCTCAGGAGCTCTCAAAAATTATTCACTGGCTTAAAACCTGTTCCCTCCAAAGGAGCTTCAGTCCCTAAAAGAAGTGGTAAATTGTAAGATGGAGTTAGTCCCTAATTTTTATTTAAGTCAAAGGTTAATAGAGAAGAGGGGGATTGGTCCTCCCTCACTGTTTCAAGTTAATGTTTATTTTTCAGCATCAGGTAGAGAATTTCCTAGGGCCTTTATTTCACTGCTCAAAGCAGAGTAAGAAAACTCAGATTCGTGCCCCGGGGCTTGAATAAGGGAATAAAAACAGCACAACATTTGCATCTACTTAACAGTCTCCGCTTTTAAGAGCCCCTCACAGTAAGAGGGGAAAACCGTATCTGGAGGTTAAATGAAGCTCTTCTGAGATATTTGCCAAAAACACAATTTGAAGAAAGATAATCATTGTCAGAAATGACCTAGGAATTTGAGGCCTTCTGATCGAAAGCACAAAGCTCAGAAAGGTGCATTCTCTTGCTTCCCTGCCTGCCCGGATATCAATGAACATCAGCTAAAGGTGGCTGAAGAACCAATTTCATGCATCTACTGTATGAGGAAATGAACTGAGCCAAGGGCAAAAATAAAATTATACAAATGTTATTATAGACTAGCCTGCTTCTGTCCTAGTTTAATTCAAATTTTAGTGCTGCGGGCTTTGCTTCTGGCAGTAGCCTTCCTGAATAAATCAACATTTGCTTACATCTAAATTATTAGGGGAACATGTGACTTTGTTTATTGTATAAATTATACGCAAGGTTAAAGCATTAACTGTTCAACTGGTTTTGTTCAGTCACCTCGCCCCTTTGCCCCCCAATCATCTCTCCCCCAAATAAGAAATAAAAATCTGACATTTCTCCTTTTTTTTTTTTTTTTTTTTTTAAGACAAACTAATAACGAAGGCGCAAAGCACTGTGAACCTGATGTCGTGGGTAGGAGCACTGCTAAAGGTAAGGTGGGAGAGAGTCTCAGAGTTTAGGAGAAAGAAGGAAGGAGCTAAGGTCCAAGGAATTGTTCACGTGAGCTCTGATATGGTGTCTGCACAAAGTGCAACGGTGATCTGGTAAATAATCAGTTAAGTTGCACAAAGTGCAACGGTGATCTGGTAAATAATCAGTTAAGTTGATCAAGGCGGTCAACCAAAATGGACAGTTTAATACAGAGCTGAAGAAAGCCTTTGGCTAGGATTTCAGTAGGCAAAGAATTTCAAACTGTATGGCAATTTCAGACCCAAACATTCTTATTGCCTGATATCTGTTAGAAAAGGAAGTTAAACACAGACCCTCTGGAAAACGCACTTGGAAACAATTTTTTTGTCTTTGCACATCGTCTTTGCACATCACGGTGAGTGACTCCTGAAAGCCTACCCACAAGTGTTCGGGAAGTAATGATGGGGCCTGATAACTGGACAATTCAACTTTCCAAGTATTTAGACAAATTGGATATCAGGTGTGTCCTACTATGAGAACATCCAGGTAGGATCAACATCAAGAATTCCAAGTGCACCAATCAATTACAATGATTTGTTTATAAGAGTTTCTTATTTTATCATCCAGAGTAGGCTTCATTTAGTCTTTGACTTTTCCCACAGTGATAAACTAATTTGCAAATTTGTAAATTGAATTCAGTTGAAAAGATTGAATTCAGTCTTTTCCAAGAATATATATGTGTGTATCTGTATTTATGTATTTCTTTCTTAAAATTCTTCTATAAACACTGTAAGTCAGAAGATTTTGTACAGAATGAGCCTCTCCAACACATGATTCCAATCTAAGGTGCGCTTGGGAGGAGAATCAATTTCCCTTTCAACCACTTCTGGTTCTTTCTGCATCCTAAATTGGGCTTTGAGATCTTGGACAGTGATTCTCCAAACGTCATTTATATGCCACCTGAAACAGAATCACCCAGGACTAGGGCTCAGGGATCTGCAGTGTAACCAGCTTCCACATGATTGGGTTAAAAGGAACTAATGTGGGAGAACTACTTTTGCAGAGTCTGATATGGAAGCAAACCATGTAGCTCTATCTACCCTTTACATTATGTGCTTTGCAGCATCTTCTACTCATGGTGCCCTGGAGCCTAGCCCAAACTAGAACAGGCTTCCAACCCAAAAGGCCTTCCAATCCCTGCCTTGCACTTTTTGGCCAATGGAGGGTATCTTTGGAACATACTCAGAGTCTGTGGTAAATCCTGATCTGTAGTGAGACAGTACACTGACGAAAAATCATCACACATAACTACAATTCTATTTGAAATGATTTATGAAATGTAAAAGTAAATTGCTTTCCATCCCATTGGTATTTTTAAGAAATAGCTTTTTGATAGCAGCATATCAGAGCAGAAAAAGCAGACTTTGGAATCAGATAAGTCTGGTTTCAAATCAGTTTCATTGTTCATTCTCATGGAGACTTTGGTAAAACTTGAATGTCTCCGAGCTCCGTTTCCTTGTCTGTGGTATGAGAATAATAAATTGGAAATGTGATGGGTTTGGAAGAAAAATAAATAATATGCAAGAAGCGTTTGGAATATGGTAGATGCTGCAAGATTCAATAGGCATCAAGTCCATTCCTAACATGACAGGTGGGTGCTGATTGGCCTAAGAACATCGGTGTACTGCCTTCTTACAGTAATTGGTTCACTCAACATCTTTGTGACCCAATGGGAGCCATGCACAATGAGACTTGTTCTTTCCCAAGGGACTTGAGCCTGGAAGCATATGGCTGGTGCATCTGTTGCCATCTTGCCACCACAAGAGGACCAAGAATTAAGCCAATTAGTAGAGGAATGCAGAGATCAGCTGAGAGATGGAAATAAATGGGTCTTGGTGGTACCAGTGGAGCCCAATCTGGAGAGTGAGAGTCTCATTCTGGATTTCTTACTTAAGTGAGCCCATAAACTCCCTTATGGGTTAAATCAATTTTGGTGGAGTGTGTTTTCATTTTCAACATAAGAGAGTCCTAACTGAGGAAGGATCTCTACACCATGGAGTTTTGTAGATAGAGCTTGTCTATTAGGTGGCCATTATGCAAAACAGGGACAGAAAGGAAAACTGGCAAGCTATGGGCAGTTTTATACTCTGAGAAAATATAAAGACCATCTTCCCAACATAGGGCACATTCTGCAGAGGTTGCTACTTCCCTACTCTGATATGTGTTCTCTCTTCTTTTTTTGAATTTTTTTTTTGAATTTTTATTTATTTATGATAGTCACACAGAGAGAGAGAGGCAGAGACACAGGCAGAGAGAGAAGCAGGCTCCATGCACCGGGAGCCCGACGTGGGATTCGATCCCGGGTCTCCAGGATCGCGCCCTGGGCCAAAGGCAGGCGCCAAACCGCTGCGCCACCCAGGGATCCCTGTGTTCTCTCTTCTTAAACTTCGGATTATAGCTGAACACATGACCAATTTTTTTTTTAATTGAAGGATAGTTGGCATACACAGTTGGTTTCAGGTACATGACATAGTAGTGCCTCAACATCTATTTATGTAACCAGGTGATCACCATGATATGTCTAGCTATAATCTACCACCATACGAAGTTGTTATGATATTATTAACTACAGTCCCTATGCTGTACATTACACCTCCATGACTTATTTATTTTATAACTGAAAGTTTGTACCTATAATCCTTTTCACCTGTTTTGCACAGGCCCTCACCTTCCCCTCTGGCATTTGCCAGACTGTTCTCTATCTATGGGTCTGTTACTCTTGTTTTGTGTGTTTTGTTTGTAGACTTAACATATAAGTGAAATCATGCAATATTTGTCTTTCTCTGTCTGACTTTTCTCACTTAATATAATACTCTCTAGGTCTACCCATATTATTGCCAATGGCAATATTTTATTCTCCTTTACGGCGGAATAATATTCCATTGTATATATACACCACATCTTCTTTATCCATTCATCTATTGATGGACGCAAAGATGGCTTCCATATCTTGGCTATTGCAAATAGTACTGCAGTGAATAGAGGGACTTATGTATCTTTCTGAATTAGTGTTTTTGTTTTGTTTGGATAAATACTGAGAAGTGGAATTGCTGGATTCTGCGGTAGTTCTGTTTTTTAATTTTTTTTTTAAATTTTTTGAAGAAACTCCGTGCTGTTTTCCATAGTGGCTGCACCTTTTTGCATTACTGCCAACCATTCACAAGGGTTCCTTTTTCTCCACATCCTCACTAAACGCTTGTTGTTTCTTGCCTTTTTGACACTTGCCATTCAGAGTGGTGTGAAGTGATATCCCTTTGTGGTTCTGATTTGCATTTCCTTGATGATTAGTGATGTTGAACATCTTTTCATGTGTCTGTTGGCCATTTGGTTGTCTTCTTTGGAGAAATGTTTATTCAGGTCCTCTGCCCATTTTTAAATTGGATTATTTGGTGGGTTTTTGTTTGTTTGTTTGTTTGGATATTGAATTGGGTGAATTCTTTATGTATTTTGCATGTTAACCCCTTATCATTTATATCATTTCCAAATAACTTCTCCCATCCAGTAGGTTGACTTTTTGTTTTGTTGATTATTTCCTTTACTGTGCAAAATCTTTTTAGTTTGATGTAGTCCTATTTGTTTATTTTTTCTTTTGTTGCCCTTGCCTAAGGAGACAGATCCAAAAAAATACTGCTAAGACCAATGTCAAAGAGCTTACTGCTGATGTTTTCTTTTAGGAGTTTTATGGTTTCCGGACATGACCAATTAAAAAAAAAAAAAAAAGACATTATCAGACACCTTTGTGATTCAGTGTGGACCTGTAGTGAAACTCTGACCAATGGGATTTAAGCAGCTCCTCCAGGTAGTTTTCTTTAAAAAGATAGCTGGCATGTGTTCTTTACCTTTTTTTATTTGTCCTTTCCTTCATTCTGCTGCCTAAAATCTGCATGTGATAGCTGGACCTATAACTAATACCTTGTATCATGAGGCCAGGGCTCTATCTTAGAAATGGCAGACCTATGAGCTAAAAGGAGCCTGGGTCCCTATGAACTTCAGGGAGCAAGCTATTTTACAGTCTTGGCTTGCCTATGCCCGAATTTTACTTGAAACAGCAATAAACCTCTTGTTTAAATCATTGTTATTTTGAATTTTTATTAGTCTCAAGCCTAATCCTAACCATTACTTCCTGATGGCAGTTCTAAGAATGTGTTTTACAAGAAATTAAATTATTTTCTTTTTTTAAAAGATTTTATTTAAGAGAGAGAGAGAATGAGAAAGAGAGAGAGAGTACAAGCAGGAGGGAAGGGTAGAGGGAGGGGGAGGAACAGACTCCTCATTGAGCAGGGAGTCCGATGTGGGACTTGATCCCAGGACCCTGAGGTCATGACCTGACCCAAAGGCAGACACTTAACCAACTGAGCTACCCAGGCACCCAGAAATTAAATTATTTTCTTAAACTGAAAATAGGCACAGTTAGTATGCAAAGTACATACCATGTGGATATATTCTTTCAACATATATTATATAGATACTTACATAAGTTACAAAAATGTTGAAGTTAAATTCAATGTGAGCCAAAATGATTCAGTTCTTTCTATGCGTCCAGTGCTATTCTAGGCCAATGGGATTTGTCAATAATAAAGGTGTGGATGTGATATACAAATTTAATTTAGAGTCACAAGACCAATTAAATCGTATGTTTGAAGATAACATTTTGGGGTATCTTAGGGGAGGAATGAAAATCAAGGTGCTATGTATATTATAGTTTGGATGAATGCTGTTTATAATGGTATAAACACTGCCTGAAAGCCCCTGTCTCACAATAGATTCAGATTCTGCAGGTATTTGTCAGGGCTGAAATTAATAAATTACATGGGAATCAATGGATTCGATTCTATTTGCCTCACAGAGGTACTTTCCATTGCTGGGTGAATTTGAAAGAGAGCAAGCATTTTTTTCAGCTTTAAAATCCAGAATCTTAATGAATGTCATGTACTCTATGAAGAATTCTGAAATAGGTTTTG